CTATGAAAAAGACCCTACAGAGGCCATCATGAATCCTCTACTAGGGAAAGACCATAGAAACTTCATCTTGAGTTCTGTCCCAGGTAGTTGGGTTACTGCAAGGCTGCAAGAATCTCATTACTGAGCAGCTCTGGGGCTTGCCAGGAGGCCTCCATGTACTAGTTACTGTCCATGTCTTTAAAGAAAGGAACTAGGCATCTCCTCTAAAGTTGTCCAAAATGACAGCACATACACTTGAGTAGAGGAAGAGGCTTGGAGGAGTTGACCTCCTGAGATACATTTAAATTGAGTTATATCATTTTTAAGAAAACAATTTATTCTGAAGTTTTCATCTAGACAAAGTTTTCTTTTGATCTCTGTACATCATTGCTTCTTTATTCTCTATTGCATTTTTGAATTTTCATAGAACTCCCTTAGCCACACAATACTATATATAGTTATAAAGGACAAAGGAATTAGGAAAGTGAATAGTCATTGGGAACCTGTGATCAATGGATTTTAAAACTGATACTCTATAGACGAATTTAGGCATTTCCCAAAGAATAAAGCATTTTTTACCAAACAGTAACTATTTGAACTGTCTGAAAAACCCACTCAGTTAACCTACTATATCTATATTTTAGGATCATGAATAATGTTCCATTGACTGTATTAAGTCTGCTGCTAAAAAGTTAAAAATAAAATAAAATAAGGAAAACAGAGTAGCAGCACCAAAGCAGTACACAGAGTATTAGTCAATTTGAGCACTAAATTTCTTAAAGAGAGCAACTTCTCTTTTATTTAACCCACTCCTTCTCTTGACTTCGAGACTTAGTTTTTCAGAATGTGTCCTATTTCCAGGTTTTACAGATGCACCTCTTTACCCAGTGACTTTGGAAAGTCTTGATCAGTTGTTCTTCTCTAGGGAAGAAAAATCCATAAAAAGTATATTTTTAAGCTTAGTTTTTTTATATAAAATGTATTTTTTTATTTCAGAAGCAATCTTCATAGAAAATTAAGAAAAGGTAGGACATAGAAAGAGAAGTTAATCATTCATTCATATCCCCAATACCCAAAAACACACAGAACTAATTCATATTTTGATAAATCCTCCTTAATGTCTTTTCTCCTTGTTTTATTCTCTACATTTTTCAAAACTTACAAACTTTGGTTTCTTCTCTTGTAATGATTTCTCACCGACTTTAGCTGATTTTTCTTACTGTGCCTGCCTATTAAACTTTGGTATTCTTTAGCTTTTACCCTTAAACATCCTCTAGTCTCGGTCAATATACCCTCTGGGTAATGTGATCAATATGCCTGGCTTTATCCCATCTATAAGCTGGTTAGTTCCAAATAAAAACTTTCCATTTACACAACTTTCCAATCATTAAACCCATTTTTCCATTTCCTTACTGTATAACTCCAACCTAATGTCTTTGAACTTAAGCATCCAAGCCTACCCTTCCATACTGTCCTAAGATCATTTTAGTTGCAATTAAGAGAAAACTAAGGTCCAATGCATATGCAAATAAAAATAAAAATAACATACTGGTCCCAGGATAAGCCCAGCTGGCTGCAAAAGCCCCAGCACTAATACAGAATCTGACTGATGATTGCCCCACCTCTGTTCTAATAGTTCCTTTTTCTTCAATTTTAAATATCATCTTCAGAGTGACAGCCATTTGTAATCACAATCAAACTACACACTTCCAGGTCCTAACCAGGCAGAAAAAGAATAGCACAGCCATGCAGCTGCTAGTCTTCTTACTTTGCCAGGACCCTCAACAGAGTCCTCAGAGGCTCACAGGTGGACCAGCTTAAGTCACATGCTCAATACTGAACCAATCACATTTGGCCAGAGATGCAGTAGGTGGGGTCTCACTCTGCACAGGTCCACAGGGATGTTCCAGGGGGCTGAGAGCAGAGGAAAGAAGGACAGACCTCCAGTGAAGATCAGAACCACCGCTGGAGTGACGCAAGTGGATGCCCAGCATTAACAAATGTGGATTGACTCTCCTTTAATTCATGGTGCCCATTCACCCAATTCCAAAGCCTGACATCATGCGAGAAGCCTATATCTCCTCCCACCACCATGCTTCCAAAGGCTCACTAACTCTGTCACTTCCTACTTCTTCAGTATTATTCAAAACCATCTTCTTCCTGCGTTCCCATTGTGGCTGCCTCACACACGGGCCTTCATAGACCGTCACAATGGTTCTTCCTGCTGCTGGTTCTTTCATATACCACAACATTCCTTTAGCCAGGAGTGATTTCTCTAAAATATGGGTATAATTCTGCTACTTTAGGGCTGCATGGTTCCCACTGCCTCCTGGACAAATGCAATGCCCCACACTGTCCTGCTGGGTGGAACCTCATCCAGCCTTGCAGCACCACTTTGGAAGACACTCTCCCACTCACATTTGGTTACAGAGCCATGAGGTAACTGTGAGTTCCCCAACCAGTACACATTCCCACGTTCCTCTGATCATCCCACTGTTTTCTCCCTGCAGTATCTTTCTTTTATACCCATCCCTTACCATCATTTCCCACCACCAGTTGAAACACTCCAGCCCCCACTGTGCAGAGGCTGCTTTTTGGCAACAGGCTTAAGAAATAGAAATTGGAGCAAGGCAAAAGGGGCCCCAGCAACCACCTAGCTGAAAGCCAATAGGTTCATAAGGTGACCCACCTCAAAATAGCCATAGGCCCTAGCTGACCAATGGGCTACTTGCAACCAGACACAGTTACTAAATAAGGAAAAATGCCATTGGTTCACATACTTCCTCACTCCACCCTACAACTGTGGCCCCTCACCACCACCTCCTGCCAGCCTCTTTTGCAGCCCTACCTACTGTTCCCCTTGCAGTGTATTCAATAAAGTTCTATCTCTTTTTCTGCCTCAGATTAATTCTTCCCCTCCTACAACATCTTCCCCTACCCAATCAGGATGCCCCACACAGTATTTGTTTCCTATTGCTTATGGCTTTGAACAACACAAATGTTTTGTTAGAGTTCTGGAGGTGAGAAGTTTAAAATGTGTCTTATGGGGCTAAAATCAAGGTGTTAGCAGAGGTGCATTCTTTCTGGAGACTCTAAGGGAGAATCTGTTTCTTGTCTTTTCCAGCTTCTAGAGATACCCACCTTCCTTGGTTCTTGGCCTCCTTTCATTCTTCAAGCCTGTGATGGCATCAAGCCTGTGATGGCATCACCCTGACCTCTGCTCTCTGCTTCTACCATCACATCTGTATGATGTGATGATTCTCCTGTATGATTGTCCTGTATGATTCTCCTTCCTCTGTCAGTTACAAACCCCTTGTGGTAACTTGGGACCTACTCATATAATCTGGGATAATCTCCTCATCTCAATAACCTTAACTTAATCATTTGCACAAAATCCATTCTGCCATGTAAGCTAACATTACCAGAGACCAGGACGCAGACATTTTTGAGGTCATGTTACTTACCACAGCCAGATATTCCTTAAGATCCAGCTTCAGAATGACCTGACTTTAGAGCTGTGTTCTGGCCCTATGCCAATTCTGGGTTGTTCCTCTTTATTTGCTTATCACTCTACAGCCTTCACTCTAGCCCTCAATAGCCTCTCTGTTCCCCCATGCAACTCTAGGATTTCCCAAAGCAAAATGACTTTGATCTATTCGTCTCTGAAAGATAACACCCCACTCTGTGACCTAATCAAGAAAGTTAATAAATGTATTACAGTTCTGTGGTTCTCTAACTACCAACCTAATAGTTCTCCATAGTTTTCCATCCTGAAGCCCAACTAACTTCAAGGTCTTGCATAGTGACTCACAATGAAATTATTTTACATTTGAATTGAATTTGGAAAAAATCATTTTATTTGCTACTTTTCAAACAAACCAATTTAATCTCTAAATTTGAGTATTTTATATAATGGCGTATCATTGCTTTTGGTCAACTAAGAAAGGGAAACACTAAATCCTTAAAAAGGCTTAATGTTACTCCTTGGTTTGTAACAACAAAGTTGCATGTTACAACAAAATTCTAAGTGCTTCCCAGCAAAGATGTTCTAGGAAAAAGAATCAAAGAAACTGTGGAAAGTAAGTAGCTGCTCAGGAATACTTGCATTAACAAGAATATGCCTTAATTTTCATTCTCTGTTCCCCATTTATCCAAATTTTCACTCTTCAGCCAGCCTTAAGAGCTGTGTTTTGCCACATGATGGTCACTACTCAATTCTTGAAGCACACGTGCATCAGGAGATGCTAGGAGAACCCTGCCTGTATCAGTGAGAGCCCTGTGACTCAATGGATAGAAATCCAGTCACCATTCCTGTGTCCTTTCCTTCACTGGAACCTTGGAAGCAATTTCACTCATAAGCTAGAATATGGTCATGATTCATAGGAGGACACCTGAAGCTCAGATGAGTAGAGGGTTAAATAAACAAGATCCTTAATCTAGATGGTTTTGAATAAGGAAGAAGTTGCTGCTCCAGGAGTTCACTAAGGAGAGGACTTATCAAAAATGGATAAAAATAGCTGTGCAGATGGTCATTGTGATATTTTCGTGCAAATAATATAGTTTATTGTAGGATGAAAGACTTTGTGTGTTTAACAGAGAGGATGCTGCTGTACAGGTTTTTCTACTGCCACACTATTACCAAGCCAGGCTCTGGAGTCCACAAAGGAGGAATGGGTACAGTTGTGGGCAAGTACATATTTTTTTTTCAGATTAATCTGCTTAGAGTTACACATTGCCAGAGCATAAAAACACCTGGAATTCTTATCTCTTAACTGTGACTATAGAGCCTTGGTATATGGTTGTCATCTATTTCTTGATGTTGCCTAATGTCCACCTCATAGAAAATAGGTGCAGTAGCCTCCTTCTCCTTTGCTCCACTCATCAAATTAGCAAACTATGTATCTGTACAGTGACATACATGTGTGTGTTGCATGTGTAGTGCTTGAATCCAGCTTCTTGGTAATAAAATGATACCTTATTGCCCAAGATACTGACCTATATGTGCTGCCTCTTTATTTTTTTTCCAAGCCAAACTGTATCCAGCTTTATTAAAGATACTTTTCATAAACAATCATGGTATTTCAGGCAGGACATGGGCGGACGATCGTTAACAGTATACAACAACTTTCAAACTCCCTTCTTCAATGGACTACCAAAATCAGAAAGCCACTATAAAACCCAATGAAGTCTTCATGTGATGCTCTGAACAGGGAAAGTTTAGAGTGAGGGTTGACAGTTCACATTTAGCATGTTGTTTAACAGCTTTTCACAAGCCGACCCTGACTTTCAGGAAATGAAATGAAAATGGCAGAATTATCAATCTGAAGATCCACAAGCTAAAAAAAGGAACTCTTTTGAGGGACGCCATCTCAGTGGTGACACCGTAAAGTCCAGATTGCCTGACATACTGGGAACCATTTCATGGGATCAGGTTCCAACAGGTCTCTGGGTTTAAGGGAGTCAAGTCTATGTTGAAGGCAGAGAGGGAGAAGAGGACATAAAAAAATGAATTTTAGTTTTTCCACACCACCAAGGTGGCTCATGTGTGTCAACATCAAGGAATCCCTCCTCCTGGGAGCCAAGAGGAAGTTTCTCAAAACTAGAAGGGGAAGGTGTTTTTCCCTCTTGTTATCAATCTAGCTTTGGAGATATTCTATTAGTGACATATGCCCTTCCCCCAAAACAACAATGAAGTGTTCCGTGTGCTAACAACATAGCTTAAAAAAAAAAGTAAAACAAAATTCTGCATTTTTATAAAACTTGATAAAAAATAGTATTTCAAATTGTACAGTCACCAGAAGTACACAGTTATCAAAAATGCACGCACTTCACTTGGCATCTCCTGCACCTTCAGCTTTCTGTGTCTGGTCTGTTTTGGCATCTCCGTTTTCTGCAGGGTTATTTCCATCCTTGCCAGCATCAGCTTTCCCCTTTTTCCCTTTGGGTACCTTCTCTCCTTTCTTTGCAGAGGCCTTTTTAGGCTTGGGCTCTGGCTTTGGAGGAGCAGGTTTAGCAGATAACCTTGCAGATCTTCTCTGTGGCTCATCCTTCACCTTGGCTTTATCTCCTTTAGCATCCCCTTCAGCCTTTCTCTTGGGCATGGTGGCGGCGGCGGCGGGACGTAAGCGCTGGACGCGGGGATGCGGCGGCACGCGGGCTTTGGCCGGTCCGGGGGTCGTTCTCGCCTCTTCTTCTTCCCTCTTTATTTTTTTTAATTGGAGTTCAATTTGCCAACATATAGCATGATACCCAGTGCTCATCTCATCAAGTGCCCCCCTCAGTGCCCGTCACCCAGTCACCCCCAACCCCTGCCCACCTCCCGATCCACCACCCCTAGTTCGTTTCCCAGAGTTAGGAGTCTCTCATGTTCTGTCTCCCTCTCTGATATTTCCCACTCATTTTTTCTCCTTTCCCCTTTATTCCCTTTCACTATTTTTTATATTCCCCAAATGAATGAGACCATATAATGTTTGTCCTTCTCCAATTGACTTATTTCACTCAGCATAATACCTTCCAGCTCCATCCATGTCGAAGCAAATGGTGGGTATTTGTCGTTTCTAATGGCTGAGTAATATTCAATTGTATACATAGACCACATCTTCTTTATCTACTCATCTTGTGCTGCCTCTTTAAACCTTCCACTTTGTTTCAATAGAATAGTGGGGAGTGGGAGAGAAGGATTTGTCTGAATAAGCTGTCATTATATAAATTACACAACACATACAGATACCAATCAGTTAGAAGTGAACCACATAATTTTTAGGTATAACTAATCCCTATAAATCTGTTTCCTTAAGTTCTTTGGTTGCTACTGCTTACCAATGACATGACCTTCTTTTCTCACTTTGAAAATATTTAGCACTTATAGAGAAGGCAGTTGATTTCCTGTGCATCCTAGTCACCTGCAAAAGACATTGATTGGATTGCTATTTTTACCCAGGACAGTCATTGTAGAAAACTGAATATGGGGGAGATTCTGTTTGGTTTGTTTGGGTTCGTCTTATTCCCCAGGGATGGACAGGTCACTTGGTGTCAGCATCTTACAAAGCAAAACATAGTCTTGCCATATGATCCAGCAATTAAATTCCTAGATATTCACTCAAATGAGTTGAAAACTTATGTCCACATAAAAACATGATAAAGTTTATTCATAATCACCCCCAAACTGCAATTAAACAAGATGTTCTTTAATAGGTAAATGGATAAGCAAACTCTGGTACATCAGTACAATGTAATAGCATTCATTCAATGATAAAAAGCAATGATCTATGAGGCCATGAAAAGACATGGATGAATCTTAAATGCATATTGCTAAGTGAAATAATTCAGTTTAAAAAGTCTACATACTGCCATATGATTCTAATTATATGGCATTCCGGGAAAGGCAATATTATAGAAATGGTAAAAAGATGAGTGATTTCCAGGGACTTAAGGGGAGGGTGGGAAGGGTTGAATGGATGAAACATAGGGCATTTTTTTAGGGTAGTAAAACTAGTCTGTATAATATGATAATGGCATATCCAAGGCACTATGCATATATCAAACCATCTACCTCAACAGTACAAAGAGTAAATCTTAATCATGTGCAAATTTTAAACATCATTTAGGAGACTGAGGATCCAGAATGGAATGCAAAATGTGACAAAACAATCTATATTACAAAGGTATAAAACTACCTTACTGATTACAGTAGGGGCAAAAGTACTGACTTAAGCAACACTGGAAAATATTGAGCCTATAAAACTAAACCCAAAGGGGGCACCTGGGTAGCTCAGTGGTTAAGCGTCACCTTGGGCTCGGGACGTGATCCTAGAGTCCCGGGATCAAGTCCCACATCGGGCTCCCTGCATGGAGCCTGCTTCTCCCTTTCTCCCTCTGCCTGTGTATCTGCCTCTGTGTGTGTGTGTCTCTCATGAATAAATAAATAAATAAATAAATAAATAAATAAATAAATAAATAACCCTTAAAAAAAAAAGCTAAACCCAAAGGAAACTATGCATAAACACTGTACTCTAGTTGATAAAGTGTGTTTCCTGTAGCAGATGCAGTTTCAAAAGTCTAATGTTTCTAAACATGTATGCTGGAATTGGAAAATTAAATAAATAAATTGAAGATGTTGGAAGTTAGGTTTCTCACTGCTGGAGTGGAAGTTACAAATAGACAAGGAGAAGAGGCTAGAATGGTCCAGGTGGTAATGAATTAGAGTCAGAGCCATTAGTATAAATTCATGTTTAGCTTAACATAGATACAGATGTTACACATAAAACACACACACACACACCATGGAATATTATTCATGAATATTATTGGAATTATATGAATATTATTCATTATTCATGGAATATTATCCCATTCACCATGGAATATTATTCAACCATGAGAAAGAAGAAAATCCTGCAACAACATGGATGGATGCTGAGAGCATTACACTAAGTGAGATAAGTCAGAAAGAGAAAGACAATACTCTATGATATCAATGTGGAATCTAAAAGAGCAGAACTAATGAAAACAGAATAGAACGATGGTTAAAGAGGCTGTGGGATAGTGGAATTAGGGGGATATTTTTTAAGACTATAAATTTCATACAACCAATAGATTAAAAAATCCTAGAAATCTAATGCACAGCTTTGTGATTATAATCAGCAAAATTGTATTATAAACCTCAAAATTACTAGTAAGAAGTTGCTACAGCCACTCAAAGAGGTTGCTGCCTGCGTTCTCCTCTAAGATTTTGATGGTTTCCTGTCTCACATTTAGATCTTTCATCCATTTTGAATGGATTTTTGTGTATGGTAAAAGAAAGTGGTCCAGAGTCCTTCTTCTACATGTGGCTGTCTAGTCTTCCCAGCACCATTTGTTGAAGAGACTGTCTTTTTTCCATTGGATATTCTTTCCTGCTTTGTCAAAGATGAGTTGACCATACAGTTGTGGGTTCATTTCTGTGTTTTCTGTTCTGTTCCATCAATCTATGTATCTGTTTTCGTGCCAGTACCACACTGTCTTGATGACTACATCTTTGTAATATACCTTGAAGCTTAGAATCATGATGCCTCCAGCTTTGCTTTTCTTTTTCAGGATCACTTTGGCTATCAGGGTCTTTTGTGGTTCCATACAAATTTTAGGATTGTTTGTTCTAGCTCTTTGAAAATGACGGTGGTATTTTATTAGGGATTATGTTAAATATGTAGATTGTTTTGCATAGTATAGACATTTTAGCAATGTTTGTTCTTCAAATCGATGAGCATGGACTATTTTTCAATTTCTTTGTGTAGTCTCCAATTTCCTTCATTAGTGTTTTATAGTTTTCCAATTATGGATCTTTTACCTCTTTGGTTAGGTTTATTCTTTGGTATCTTATTGGTTGTTATGCAATTGCAAATAGGATCAATTCCTTGATATCTCTTTCTGCTGCTTTGTTATTGGTGTATAGAAATGCAACATTTGGTATCCTGCAACTTTACTGAATTAATGTATTAGTTCTAGCAATTTTTTGGTGGAGTCTTTCAGGTTTTGTACATTGAGTATCATGTCATCTGCAAATAGTGAAAGTTTAACTTCTTTTTTGCTCATTTGAATGCCTTTTGTTTCTTTTTGTTGTCTAATTCCTAAAGCTGAAACATTCATTACTATGTTAAATAGTAATGGTGAGAGTGGACATCCCTGTCATATTCCTGATCTTAGGGGAAAACTCTCCATTTTTCCCCATTGAGAATGATATTTCTGTGGGTCTCTCATAGACGGCCTTTATGCTGGTAAGGTATATGACATCTTTTTAAAGGGTTTTTATCAAGAATAGATGTTATATTTTGTCAAATGCTTATTCTGAATTTATTGAAAGGATCATATGGTTCTCATCCTTTCTTTTATTAATGTGGTATATAGGGAAGAGAAACAAAAGCAAAAATGAACTACTGGGACTTCATCAAAATAAAAAGCTTCTGCACAGCAAAGGAAACAACAAAACTAAAAGACAGCCTATCAAATGGGAGAAGATATTTTCAAATGATATATCTGATAAAGGGCTAGCATCTAAAATCTATAAAGAACTTATCAAACTCAATACCCAAAAACAAATAATCCAGTTAAGAAATTGGCAAAAGACATATATAGACACTTTTCCAAAGAAGACATCTAGATGATTATCAGACACATGAAAAGATGCTCAATATCACTCATCATCAGGGAAACACAAATCAAAACCATGATGAGATATCACCTCACAACTCCCAGAATCTCTAAAACTAACAACACAAGAAACAACAGGTGTTGGTGAAGATGCAGAGAAAGGGGAGCCCTCTTCCACTATTGGTGGGAATGTAAACTGGTGCAGTCACTCTGGAGAATCATATGGAGGTTCCTCAAAAAGTTAAAAAACAGAATTACCCTATGATTCAGCAATTGCACTACTATTTACCCAAAGACATAAAAATTACAGATTCGAAGGGGTACATGCACCCTGATGTTTACAACAATATTATCAACAATAGTTAAACTATGGAGACAACCCAAAATATCCATTGATGAATAGATAAAGACGACGTGATACACACACACACACACACACACACACACACACACCATGGAATATTACTCAGCCATCGAAGATAATGAAATCTTGCCATTTGCAGTGATGTGGATGGAGCTAGAGTATATTATGCTAAGTGAAATAAGTAGTCAGAGAAAGACAAATACCATATGATTCCACTCACATGTAGAATTTAAGAAACAAAATAGATGAATATATAGGGGGAGAAGAAAAAGAGAGAGGGAAACAAACCATAAAAGACTCAAAGATAGTGATCAAACTTAGGGAAGGAGGTGGTGGGGGGATGGACGAAATGAATGATGGGTACTAAGGAGGCCACCTTATAAGATGAGCGCTGGGTGTTCTATGTAAGTGAAAAAATCGCTGAATTTTATTCCTGAAACAAATATTGCACTGTATGCTAACTAACTAGACTTTAAATTAAAATGTGTAAGAGGTTCCCTTTTCTCCGCATCCTCTCCAGCATTTGTGGTTTCCTGCCTTGTTAATTTTCCCCATTCTCACTGGTGTGAGGTGGTATCTCATTGTGGTTTTGATTTGTATTTCCCTGATGGCAAGTGATGCAGAGCATTTTCTCATGTGCTTGTTGGCCATGTCTATGTCTTCCTCTGTGAGATTTCTCTTCATGTCTTTTGCATATTTCATGA